TTTGAAGTGGGTAAATAAAGCATAGAGTTACTTGAAATTTTTACGATTAATTATTTTATTGATAAATCTAAATCATTCAGGAAACAACTTAAATCACAGACACAGAAAAAAAAAGATCTAACTAAGTAGATATTTGCTTCAACACACATGTAGTGTATTAAAGAGAGATTTAATTATATACTACTCCTCCCGAGGAGTTGTTATCATCAATTTATATAATTAATAATTATGAAAATTATCACCACTGCATATTAGAAGAAATAACAATACAATGTTAAAAGTGCACTAATCGTTGTTGCGACCGCTGAGTCTTTTTCACGATGACAAACTCTTTAATTATGAAATACAAATAATATAAATCTAATAATAGAAAGAACGAGCGAAGGATCATCTGTTGTCATCATCATCAACAACATTTAATATTACACTGCTGGACAGGTCTCTCCCTAGAAATAAGGCTTTTGCCCACTATGGCTATGGACACACGGGTTAAATTGAAAATACCTACTGAGATCAAACACTCATTACAATTTTTTAGCTTTTTGTATTGTTCAACAAACAATAACTTTTTGATCGTATTGCGTTTCATTTCCAGAGATAAATTATTATTTAAAACAGTAAATATATATATATATATATATATATATATATGTATTCTTTCTTATATCTATTATTGTTATGAAGTTATCCTAAGAGTTTTAATAGATACTCAACAGGCATTGCTAGTATCTGAAAGGCAACAAAATGTTGGTATTGTTCTTCAATACCAACATTTTGATCCACCACCACATCAGATTCGGGCCATTTAGTTACTCTAAACTTTAAAAAAAGTTTTCCAACTAAAACACTGGCCGGTTTGTACAATGTTATAAAAAAAAACTATTTTAAAGACAAATACAACAGATGTTCGTTTCTTTTTCTTTTAAAAACGTTTTACTTTGAGCCTTCACTTTGAATTTTACAACTTTTATTGTCACAACATTTTTATGGGTATTATACCGTTTACATAGGTTTTTGTCTTGATGTGCTTAAAATTAAGATTATGTTAAACACTTAATTAGCTAACAAAGCATTTCTGAATTGTATAAAAAAAACTAATTAGGTTATTTTAAGATAGTAAAGGCTCTCCTTAACCTGCATAGCTCATGTGCTATAGGAAAATCCACTTACCCTTACCTCGCCGTTTTTCCACTGCACTGAGTGCTGTGGGTTCGATCCCCACATAGGATAACACTTTGTGTGATCAAGACATGTTGTTCTGAGTCTTGTGTCCGTTTTATGAGTGTTTGTAAAGTCCCCCGTGACACAGCTCGTATTCATAAAGTAGGAGTTATATTTCTAATTATAAAAAAACGACTGTACGTGAACAAGTTGCATACAGTATCATTCGTAATCATATCTTTTTCGTTTTTTCAATACACAGCATAGTCTCTTTTATAAAAAAAAAAACAAAAGACGCATCTAAAACAATCCCATCCAATTTTGTAAATTTACCTTGACGGTACATGTAAAGAGATAATCCGTTTTCTTCGGAATGCTCAAAAGCATCATTGTTACGTACCACATGAGAAAATGGGGGAACCACTGAGCGACATAAAAGGTAAATGAACTTAGCATCATTCAAATAATATCAGTAATTCTCTCGGCAAGGCACTCTCAGAAGAAAATTTAATTAGGTTTTAAATGATAAAGATCTTTACTCAACATATTAAGGGGCTAAGTAGTAACCGAGTAAAAAATAATAATAATAATAATAATAATATTCTACTACATTCACACAACGCCATTTAGTCCGAAACTAAGCAGAGCTTGTACTATGGATACTAGACAACTGATATAAATACATATATACTTTTTTTTTTGTAAATTCATAAATATTATACATAGAAACACCCAGACCAAATCAAACATTAAATGTTCATGCACACAAATGCTTGACTTGAGCGGGAATCGAACCCGCGACCTTTGGAATAGCAGTCCGTTACACAAACCACTACGCCATTCGGTCGTCAAATTAACACATTAACACATTGCAAAGTTAAACAATCCTAGCCAGGTCAGTCTATGGAGGGGTGACCCTTTATTAATGCATTGAGACCTCTATGTTCGGAGAGCACGTTAATTGTGACAACAGTCTTCTTAACAAAAAAAAAAACAAGATAAGATTAGAAATCGTATCCTTATAGGGCTGTAAGTATTTTAAAGGTAAAAGCTATATTTATATGATTTGTATCTTTTAGTTACTTTCCTACTTTATAATTTTCTATTGTAATTTGTATCTATTAGTTAGTATCCAACCGTATTATTCTGGAATAAAATTATTATTTTTTGAGAAAAATATATCGTAAATAAAATTCAAGCAAAAATATTACTTATAAAATGCGCTACACCATCAACATGTTATAATCTCCTGTAAAAATAATCATAATTAAAAAAAATACTTTTTTTCAATAAACATTACTCAACAGCGCAAAAAGTTCATGGCTCAAAAACAAATTAATGAAAGTTTTTTTATTAACCAAAGGAAAGTAATTTACCATTGCTTCTACTCAATCGTACTTGTATGCAAGGATTTATTTCAATCAGTGCGTTATCAATTATGTTACTAACTTCAGGGATTATCGATCGTTTAGCTAAAGCATTACTGACGTCAGCCGTGCATAGAATGTCTGTCCCTTAATCACCTTTGTCAAAATCACAGAAAAGGAATCCAATATTCAGCCGTATTGATCACCGTCCATAACATTTTATTAATACCAGGTTATGTTCTCAAAGCCATGAAACATCGCTTTCAACGTATATCGGAAACATTCTACATCACATTTACTATATCTTCATAGCATTGGAATGTGACGGATATCAATAAAGATATGAGAAGGGTCGGGCCCCAGACCACTTATGTTACTCAATTGTTATTGCCGCAAAAATTGCCATTCAAAAGAATATCGAGTTGTCTGTGTATTTCTGTAAGGTTAAAATTTACATATGACGTAGCGGTAAGTACCACAGTATTAGCGGTAACAGAGGTTCAAGCCCGATTCTGTTCGAAAAAAAAGACAGATAAATATTGTTTTACTTTTTTTATAATTGATGACCACTTTATGTCTATGTCCTAGTTACGTCTACAATCACATAATAGATATATAGGTACATGAGTCCGCCATCTTCGAGCTACTACAGGCATTTATGGCATTTATGGTCCCTATCCTTGCTTGCCTAATTTCACCTCCTTCTTTGACCCACAAAACATTCACAAGAATATATTCCTATACTATAAAGGGACTATAAAGGAATGATGATACTGATCAAATTATGTCATTTCTAGTCAGTCCTTTTGTCATTAAGGGTATATTTTCTTGTTTATAATTTGTAGAGATTTCAATATTCTTGATTAGTTATAAATGCAGAAACTATGAAGTGAAACATTTCAATTATATATAGATAGAGATAAATAAACATATAGAGATAATTATATATAAACATATAGAGATATAGAGATAATTAAACAATTTATGGGAAGCAATTTTCCGGTTGGTAACGGATTAAGAATAAGGAGTGTCACCATCCCTATTAGAGCAAAACTACGCCAGACAACAACTCAGCAAAGAGAATGAAAACTTAAAACAGACCCTATACCTTTCATTGTCCACTACTCTTGTATATTGGTTGATACTTATAGACATAAAACTCTTTACTATATTTTGCTCATCTCTATACATTATACATATATCCCACCGCTTTCATCTCCTCTTTCTTGTATCATGCTTTTTGTCTACAGAGGCTTTAACAAAAACATTAAACCCAACAACCACTAATATCTAATTGAATTATACTTTACGAAGAATTAAAAAATAATAATTAAAAAGTCCGTAAGAATGTCTACGATAAATCAAAATTAATTATTGATAATTTGGTTTCGATAATACTCGTGGTGGAGGCCTCCCAGACATTTACAATAATTTACAAGATATCGGGATATTTAATTAAAGTGATTTGTTGGTTCTTATTTCTTATTGCTAACGCTTTATATACGATACACTAGAATTTGAACTTCTGTTTAAATTTCAAGTGTGTATAAGTTTTTTGGACTTTCATTGGATCAATTTAAGTTCTTATTACAATGGCTTAGGGGCGATATAGGTGTATCAATTTGTACAAGTGGCTTAACAATTTCAGGGCGATGGGTAAAATGGTCCCTAAGGCGATTTCATGGTGTATTCTCAAGGAAATATAAGAAAACAATTTCATTGGATACGTAGCAAATAATATAATCAAGTGCTGGTATAGTGACGTTATAATATTATGATGAATGCTTTAACGGGTGTTTGACATTTTAACTGGGATATGGTGTGGTTTGATCTATCGAACTTTTCCCACTGATATTGTTGGTAATTGAATTAGCACTTGGGGCTTGAACTAAATGTAATAAATTATTTAGGGGGAGATCATGAATCATGTTTGACGAATGGTTGTTGAGTTTGTTTTTAACAGCGATAGAAGAATTTTTGTTAAAAAACTACGAATGTATACACGGACTAAACCATTATTTTTTATTTGTATGTTTATTTGTATTTTTTTTTTTTAAATTTGGGGGGCTCATAGAACTTTCATTGGAAATATGGATAAGAAAAAAGCTTTTGACAATACAATGCATGAACTTTAACAATTTATTTGTCAGCGTTACACTTAAGGTGAACTTGTTCAGGTTTTAATTGTTTTTCAGGCTTTTGAATACATGTCCAAATAAATCAAAATATCATCACATCACATCAACAGCCTTTAGTAGTTCACTGCTGTACATAGGCCTCTTCTTAGAAAGGAGGGTTTTGCCTACTATACCACGCTAGCCAGACGGGTTGATATAGGATTTGTTTCAAATTTTCCTGCAGTGCTGTTGTCCTGCGTAGTTTGCTCCCTTACTCGGCTCTTACGACACCCACGGGATGAATAGGGGTGGTGATTCTTACTGCAATATTGTAATAAAACGTGTCTTGCATCCATCACTTGGTTACTCCAAGACTGTCTAGCGGTAAGCCCGCAGACAACAGCGCCATTACTGCAACATGTATTAATACAACTGAATTATTCTTGGTATCGCGCACAAACGTGACAAGTATACTGATAGTTAAAGAGATCGCTAAAGTGTTCTGCGTTTGAATGCTGCAATAGAATTTACATGTTGAACGGTTTATAGCTCCGAGTGCAGCTGCATCTCTTAAGGGGTGTAGGGCTGAGTCCGAGTTACTTTTCCTAGATAAAAGGTCCATAATAATTATAGGCTTGGACTTTCCTTTTTGTTCTTTTTTGTTTAAACAGACAACTTTCCCTACTAGAAATTTATACTGTATCGGGCACTTTACAAACATTCATGAAATAAAAACAAAAAACACCCGGACTAAGAATAACAATTTGTGGACCACACAAAGTGTTGTTTCATGTGGAGATTGAACCTATTACACTCAGCGCAGTAGGAAGCGGCGAGGTGACCACTTAAACTACCACGCTATCTGTACAGGCAAAACTTCTTGGTCACAGCGAGTTCAAGGCACAGGTATACGACCTTGACCTACTTGAACTATTACTTGAACTACATATCCATCCGTATTTATAATTTACCCTTCTTAACATTGCCTTGTCCGTGTGTTGACGGATTTAGGTTACGGAGTGTCACCACCCCTATTCATCCCATGGGTGTTGTAAGAGCCGTCTAAGGGAGCAAACCATGCAAGACAATGGCACTGTAAAGAGAAGTTAAACTTTAAACAAACCCTATACCAACCCGTCTGGGCAGTAGTAGGCCAAAACCTCCTTTCTGAGGAGAGGCCTATGTCCAGTAGTGTAATATAGGCTGTTGATGTGAGGTGATATGAACATTGCCTGGCCATTTTACCACCTATTCCTTTCATATTGAACTCCTAACTTTCCCAAGTTATTCATGAAGCGCCCGGTTGACGGCAAAAGGTCTATTACATGTGTGGCAAAGTATATGTATAAAAATCCCTGTTAGGTCCAAATGGCTGGGTATCAAACTGTACGTACGTAAGTAAAACCGTTTATAACTTTAAACATATACGGTATATAAATATCACTCCTCAATATTTTTATTCCAGTATATGGTTTTAGTCCTCATTTCTAATCAATGAAACCACAATATGTAACAGCGAAGCTTGGCCAGGTACAGCTGGTTTTGAACAAAACTCGTATAACTAATTATTCTGAATAAAAATAAATTAATATTTATATATAGGTAGATAACTATTGTTTATAATTGAGAAGTAGGCATACATTTTTACATTGGATTTTTTTTTATATTGAAAGCTGGCAGGCCTTTATTTAAATTAAATTTTAAGTAAAATACGAAGTTCATTTATATATTTGAAATTAATCTTACCTTACTAAAACATGGTAAGCAACTGTAGAAAACAAAACAATTCACGTAGACAAAAAATCAATCAACGTGATCACTCCGCTGCAATCAACTGTTTGCATGAGCCAGATTTTTTTGGAATACACGTTTCCCCTTCAATATTTTTTACCTGCTGTATTTCGTGCCAGGCAATCAAAAGCTATTCTATTTTAACTTTTGTTGGTTGCGGTAATTTTGGATGTACCTACTAACCTACTTCTATTGGCTAGAATTTTGAAATGAAACATAGGTTCGTTGCTTCCTTGTTATGTTCCTAGCATTTTACAAATTCTTAGTTATTACTAGTCATGGAAGTCCTGCTAAGCTATGAAAAATTGTATTAACCTCTAAAAGTATTCAATTTATTTAAATAATATGATATTGCAGTCGGGTTTAAAACTATGTAAGTATTTATTTTCATTTCATTTCATTTTTTGTCTTTTCATTTTTTAAAGACATCTCCGCGTTATGAATATATCTAGGGGACTTTACAAACATACACGAATACAAAGAACACCTAGAGTCAGAAAAACAATTTGTGGACCACACAAAGTGTCGTCCCATGTGGGGTCCGATTCCCACATGGGACGACACTTCACAGACTCAAACAACAATTTGTGGAGTATGGGTGTTCTTTGTGTCACACAAAGTGTCGTCCCATGTGGGGTTCGAACCCACAATATTCAGCGTAGTAGTAAGCGGGGTGGCGACCGCTCAAACCACTACGCCATCCGTACACTCATTTCAAAACAATTTGTCGCGATTTTACAAAATGTTGAGGTTCTCATTTTATTAATCTTATATTTATAATGTTAAAGCTGATTAGCAGCTGCTATAGCTATAGAAACTCAGGTCTTATGATATGAAAATATTTACAGACAGTTGACAGCAAAGTGGCTAGATCATTAGTCTTATGAGCAAGAGATTGTAGTTTTAAACCTTAGGGTACACAACCGACTTCAATTCAAGCGTCAGACGCTTTTAGCGTAATTGAAAGGATTAACAAGAGTACTAACATAGTACGGACATTCACTTCTGTTAGCTTGTTGTAGACAATGGCATAGAATACTATATTTTTATATGGACGTGTTACCTTCTAAACTCTCAACCAATCAAAAGTACTTTCACCGCCGTATTTTCAACAAAATATTTTGGACTGAAGTGTAAATCAAAAGTTAGCTTCGTCAGGACTTCGACGAATATTTTTTGCAATTGCAAATTTCTGCAGCAGTAGTCCTGTGAGATAATAATAAAAACCTCGAAAAAACAAAGCCTCAAAAAGATTAATCCTCAAATAAGTGGAAAGAGTGACACTTTTAGTACTACTTTCACGTGTACTAATCGAATTGTATATGAGGAAACTATACTATAATACATGTAGATTATAAATATCGTGCAACATTTTCAACCTTGGTTCACATTTCCAAACCACTACTTTTTTAACTTTTTGTTATATAAAAAAAAAATATTCGCGAACTAAGATCTAAGTTCCCACTTATATTTAAGTTAACCGATTTACCCTATATTTTATAGCCAAATAAAAGTTACTTAGGGTGTTAAAATAAAACAATATCCCTTAAGTGTTCCTATCTTTGGCTTTAATACTCCAAGTTTGTAACCGTAGAAGCCGGGTATACCCGGTCTATTTGCACAGCCCTCAAAACTTCTGTTTGGGGTCATGAAACAAATAGCTTTTCAACTTTCTCGGGTTAGCAGCTGCATTTTTATACGTTTTTGAAAAGACTTTAGAGTCAGAATATGAAATTAAATAATTTGGTAAATTGTATTTTTTCGAAGTAAGAGATCCGAGGAGAAACAATCCAAGTACGTGGGCATACAGTAAACTTTGCAAAAGCATTTAAGGTAATAAGAATTAGTATTCTCATATTTTTGCATGCAACAGGATAGTAGTTGGTAAGTACTCATCTCAAATGCCAAATGCAGTTGCTCATCGTAATCATAGCGCTATACGTGTAGGTTTATCTTCTAAGGGCCTATTTAACCCTGCCCGCTTGTATGTCGGTTGTCGCGACAAAAAAGCCTAAGTTACTCGCTGAAAATGTAGCTTTCCACTGGTGAAAGAATTTATAAATCGATTATGAATCGATTTACATTTATAAAAAAGGTATGAAATATTGATATAACCAATTTTTTTACTACTAGTCTAAAACTAGTTTTTAATTATTATCGATGAGGAGTTTCTGGGAAAATACCTTAGAGAAGATATACCTAAATAAAATTAATTTTTAGATTTTCTGCTAAATCAAAGCCACATAGCCAATATATATTTTTTCTACAGGTAGACCGTATTTGTTGTATACAACTACTAATGGATCATGAGACTTTACTGTAGTAGCTATTTTAACAACTAGAATAATGTGAATGCACTGCTAATATTATAATCTTTTGGAATACTTAAGGAAAACATACATAAGAAACGATAAAGACCAACCCCACAGTGTAACCGAGTAGCAAGCGTGCTGAATGAATTTTAAACGTGAACGCTGTACCCTTAGTCGGCTCTTACGACACCCACGGGATGAATAGGGGTGGTGATTCTTACTGCAATATTGTAATAAAACGTGTCTTGCATCCATCACTTGGTTACTCCAAGACTGTCTAGCGGTAAGCCCGCAGACAACAGCGCCATTACTGCAACATGTATTAATACAACTGAATTATTCTAGGTATCGCGCACAAACGTGACAAGTATACTGATCGAAGAGATCGCTAAAGTGTTCTGCGTTTGAATGCTGCAATAGAATTTACATGTTGAACGGTTTATAGCTCCGAGTGCAGCTGCATCTCTTAAGGGGTGTAGGTCTGAGTCCGAGTTACTTTTCCTAGATAAAAGGTCCATAATAATTATAGGGCTTGGACTTTCCTTTTTGTTCTTTTTTTATTTAAACAGACAACTTTCCCTACTAGAAATATATACTGTGTCGTTGGACTTTACAAACATTCATGCAATAAAAACAAATAACACCCAGACCCAGAACAACAATTTGTGGACCACACAAAGTGTTGTTCCATGTGGAGATTGAACCTATTACACTTAGCGTAGTAGGAAGCGGTGAGGTGACCATTTAAACTAACACGCTAACCGTGCAGGCAAAACTTTTTGGACACAGTGAGTTCAAGGCACAGGTATACGACCCTGACCTACTTGAACTATTACTTACACTACATATCCATCCGTATTTATAATTTACCCTTCTTAACATTGCCTTATCCGTGTGTTGACGGATTTAGGTTACGGAGTGTCACCACCCCTATTCATCCCATGGGTGTGGTAAGAGCCGTCTTAGGGAGCAAACTAAGCAAGACAATAGCACTGTAAAGAGAAGTTAAACTTTAAACAAATCCTATACCAACCCGTCTGGGCAGTAGTAGGCCAAAATCTCCTTTCTGAGGAGAGGCCTATGTCCAGTAGTGTAATATTATAGGCTTTTGATGTGAGGTGATATGAACATTGCCTGGCCATTTTACCACCTTTTCCTTTCATATTGAACTCCTAACTTTCCCAAGTTATTCATGAAGCGCCCGGTTGACGGCAAAAGGTCTATTACATGTGTGGCAAAGTATATGTATAAAAATCCCTGTTAGGTCCAAATGGCTGGGTATCAAACTGTACATACGTAAGTAAAACCGTTTATAACTTTAAACATATACTTTATATAAATATCAATCCTAAATATTTTTATTGCAGTATATGGTTTTAGTCCTCATTTCTAATCAATGAAACCACAATATGTAACATCGAAGCTTGGCTAGGTACAGCTGGTTTTGAACAAAACTCGTATAGCTAATTATTCTGAATAAAAATAAATTGATGTTTATATATAGGTAGATAACTATTGT